AGCCGAAATCGGCCTGGAAAAGTTGCGCCGCCAAGCCGAGGGGGCGTCCGGCTCTTCCTTGGGGGCGGGGACCCGATCGCAGCCCCCCGGAAGACCGAAGTGACTCTGGAGGGAGTTACGGGGGAGGGCTGGGGGAGTCCGAGGTTGGGTCTCAGGACCCCGGTCCAAATGATGGGGGGCCCAAGATCCTGGGTTCATCCGGGTCCTCCCTCTCCATCCTTGCTGCACTAGACCCCAAAGCTGAGACCTGCTAAAACATTTCTTGGCTTGAGTTTGCGGACCCCGAAAGGATCTCAGGGGCCCCGGGGCTCCCCAGACCGCCCTTGGAGAACCACCGCCCTTCCACCTTTAACAGTGACGGAGGACCCCAAAAGAGCTTTTGTTTCTGGGGGTTGTGTTTTATCAACATTTACCGTTTTAATAGTCAAAATGGACACATTCACTGCCGCTGATGCTGCACACAAGGGTTGGGTGGGATTTTAATATTGTATTCTTTTTCAACGTAGGCCAGCAAATCATTTTGAGTTTGTGGACCCCGGAGAGGGTCTTGGGGACACCCCCCCGGGGCCCTCGGACCACGCCTTGAGAAACGCTGGTGTACAGCATCTTGATGGAGATAAAAAGAGGGGTCTGGAGGGAGGTAACAGGTGGCAGGTGGAGGAAGAACTTTGGGAGAACTGTCTGAAGAAACTAAATCGAATGATAGGATTCGGCTAACAGTGGTTAGCCAACCAGAACCATGACTTTGAGATGGGCGGCCATATAAATTGAAAAAAATAAATAAGTTGCATTCTGCCAAGAACAGGGGAAAGAGTTGGTGAGGTGGTCCATCTGAGTTGCTTTCAGTGGCCTAAAAGTGTATCCAAGAAATTTTGAAAAGGATCACTGAACCCAGGAATGCTATTACTTGAATCTGTGGTTCAAATGATAGACTTACCTTTGATTACGTGCCCTCAAGTCCGTGTTGACTCTTATCAATCACATGGATCGATTTTTCTCTATCAAGAGACTTATATCAGGCCTAGCTTATTTTCTGCTAAGGCAGCTAAGCATTTTCAAGTTCCTAATAATGCTCTGTAACAGGATTCTAATTTGCATTTTGTGGTGGTTTTCACAAATTTTTATCAACATTTTTTTCAGGTGTTTCCCCATACTATAAGACATAATTTTGCAAAGATCAAAGTACTTTATTTTGGTCATTGACCAGCCTTGCATAACATAAGATATAGGGTTAAGATATGATAAAAAGAAATAAGGTAAATTGAATTTGGCCAGTCCAAGTATAATTTGCAGTCTAAATCAGTAATGGCAATTCTTATGATATAGGCATGCTATTTTATCAGTGTTTTGGTTCATTTAATAAGCAAAGAATTATTTTAATATTGATGAAATGAACACACAAGGGAATAATGCATCATTTGTTGTGATTCAAATCCACATATATAAGTTGGAGATAATAGTATAATCTTGATTTGTTATCTGGTCCTTTTTAGTATGATTATACTAAATTTTGTAGTCTAGCAATCTTAATTCTTAATCTGCTAGATTTGTGCACATTTTCAGAATATCAAGTTGCAGTGTTGAAAATAGTTTTCCACTATTAGTATAGGTGAGACATAAAAGACAGCTCATCCTGTAGTATGTATTTGTTACTTGGGCATTGTATTACATTTCTGTTTTATTGTTATTTAATAGCATCTTGGTAACTTTGTTTTCAGACCTTGTCCTAAATTTGTAATACCTAACCTCTTAAATGATTTTTTATTTTATTTTTAGGTTTAAGAGCATAACATCTGACCTAACAAGTAGTTCAGATGAAAGTTGCATACCATTACCAATGGAATTTTCCATTAAAGCAGGGGCTCTCAAACTTTGTGATACCACAACTGCCAACAGAGGATTACGCAGGCAAAGTGAGAAACAAAGTCCGGAGCAAGTTTTGACAACACTCCCACTGTCTGTGCATGATTTATAAGTGTGATCCACACACAGTTGCTTGAAATCTCTCTGAGGGTCCTAATCCACAGTTTGAGAATCCCTGAATGAAAGAATGAAATAAAAAGAAAACAGTTCAGTTGATGTTTACATGTAACACAGTTTACATATATCAAGACAGTTGTGTTTTGTTAGCAAGGCAGTGAATTCTAGTATCAGCCTAAACAGCTGATGATTTTCTTTGTTTTGGTTGCTTAGATTACCACAAGCAAATTTTGTGGTGGAGCAGCTAGTTTGATTACATTTTTATTTTGATCAGACTTAAATGCAATATTCTGTTGAGGTTTATCCCATTAATATCAGTAGATTAACATCAGTGGATCTTGATGTTCAAATTAATACATTTAACATCAGGACTTGAAAAAACTGCCAGCATAGTCAAGTATATTATGCTTACCCAAAAAGATGTGTCTGTAGAAAGGCTATTGAAATATTACAACTATTTAAGGAAAGACAACTAGAGGACTCAATATAAAAACATATAAGGAAAACTTTTGTTCCCAGTGGTTTTGTTAATACATATATTTACCCTTCATAAATATATGTATTTTTCAATATTCTAATTTGTAGTAACCACCATTAAATTAGTGTGACTTTGTGTATCCTGAAGCAGTCAGCACATTAATTTTAGCACAAATAGATTAACGTAACAGTCTGTACTTTTTGAAGAAGTACATTGGAAGCATTTTGTCCATTTTTGTAGCTCCCTGAGTGAATTTTGTGTTGTTTTTCATCTAGCCAGTGTTAAACCATCAGGATGGGATAGTTGGTTGATTGTAGGATCTCCACATCCACTATGGCAATCTAGTACTTTTGAAGAAAAATATATTGACATTTCATTAAAATCTTTTGCCTATTGATTTAATCTTTGCTCAAAAGTGTATATTTCAACCTGAGTGCATTTTTTCTCTAGCACTGTCACAATGCACACAGTCCAATTTAAATCTTCACTTAACTTGCTTATGATGTGCACAGTTCTGTGACCAGTGGCAGACCTAGATTTGTGGCCAGCAACTGGTGTCCCAGAAGAATTATGCAGTTGGCACATTCATACCCACAATTTTTTTTTGACATCTCTCTGTCCCATAAGTGGCCACTTAGTTTGTTTATATGGATGGATCACTTGTACCTGTGGCATAGGCAATCCCCATGATGCTTTGCCAATATAGTGCATTTAGAATGAATATTCAAAGTGGCCCTCTTGTAGTGCCAATAAGAGAAATATCAATAATAGATTAATGTATAATCCACTATTAAATCTTACTTCTTGGTTGCAGGCATTTGTGAAAGATGTCCATGAAGATTCAATAACCGTTGCATTTGAGAATAAGTACGTATTGTCCTGAAATTGACTTTACAAAGATTTAGCAATCTTAAAAATGCAGTGCTGAACAAATTTAGATTTTGAATATAATGTGATTCTCGTATACTTCCAAATAATTTTTATGAAACTGGTTGCTTGATATGTAGATCCTTTCTTTGATTCTAAAAAGCAACCTGGTCATGGCAGCGTTGAGGACAAATTCATGGCCATTTCTTTTCTATGCTCTCTGTCCTCGTGGAGCCATCTTGATGCGCTGCATACATAGAAAACTTCGTCTCTTTGCAGCCCTAGTCCATTAATGCTGCGCATACCAAAACTTGCATAAGCTTGTATCATAGTTATTCAGGGGATGAGCAGCATATCTTCATGTTATATTTATATCCCAAAGAATAACCAGAAAGTTTCACATGGGATGATGAAGTGCAGTGAGCAGCAATTCTTTTCAAGAGAGCTGACTTCAATATTTATGCTGTAAATTCTCACATAGTTAAAATGCTAACCCAATCTTAATAATAAACTCAGGTTGCAACTTTAGTTCTCCTTTAGAAAAGATATTCTGGTTTATTATTACTTTTTTAACAAAATACCTGCCTCATTTCTCTGCTGGGCACTGAGGGGAGGGCAGTCTCCCCCTTTGCAAGTCCACTTGTATTTGTGCTAAGCACAAAGGACTGATGGGGTTCTCCATTCTTTCTCTACCTTCTGACTCACTTGGCTGTATGCAGTTCCACGCGCTCACTTGTATGCCATTGTTTATCGGCTATGATTACTAAGCAAGTGCTCTGAATCCAAGACTGACTTAGCTGTGTGTTTATTCCGTTTAACCCGGTTCTCTGTGCTTGGTCCCTGGGAAATAATCTTAGGTTGCCCATCTTTCCTGAATTGGTGTGCTTTCTGCCTCGCTCACACCTGTTACTTTTTAATAGCTTAGGTTTTATTGTGTATTTCAGCTGGCAGCCAGAGAGACAGATTCCATTCCATGATGTCAGGTTTCCTCCACCTACAGGGTACAATAAAGATATAAACGAAAGCGATGAAGTTGAGGTAAGGCCTGCTTTAATCTTACATTTTGAATGAGGGTAGAATAGCAATGATGTTGGCTTTCAAGGGAAAATACTTGCAGTAGTCCTTTGAGTGCTTTTTCCTGGTTTTTTTTTTTCTTTTCTCAATTTTCCTATTATATAACATTTTCCTTCTTTGACACTCTTGTTCAATCACAGGGGGCAAATATTTAGTATTGGATACTGCTTTGGACCCAGGCCCATCATCATAACTTAAGGAATGAAGATGCGTAGCAGAGTGTGGCCCTTTTTGCATCAGCTGCACAAAAAGTTTCCCCTGAATCATGCAGCTTAAATAGGTGTGGTGCCAGTATTAAGGTCCCTTGACTTAATTATACTTTAGTTTAATTTCCGGTAATGGCAGTGGATGCGATGGGCTAGGATTATACACGTTTAATAAGTAAACTTGAAACTTTTAAGCGATGTAATTCTCTAGAATAAATATAAAGGTGCCCTAAAAGACTCATTTGTAATGGCTTAGGGCTTACTTTGCTAAATACTTCTTACACAGACATTCCAGTTGGTGTTCTTTATTGTAACAGTCTGTGTATTTTAGTTACCAGACATGATTGCATGAAAGCAAAGTGGGTTGGTGTGTTTCCCTCCCCCCCCCCATCCATTTCTCATCACATAGCACTTGCCTTTATTTCTCTGAGGCCTGGCCACGTTCTGTCTTTCAGCATGCATGGAGAGCCCTCTTAATATCTGTATCACCTATTGGTATTGACAGTTGTGCCATCCGCATCCTGAGTTGGCCAAGCAATTCCTGATGAGCGAGGCTCTCCTTGATCTCACTATGCTTCTTAAATATTCTTTCTTGTGCTGGTTTTAATCAGAGAATAGCCATTATGCCAGGGCCTGGAAGAAGTCTGGATGGGTGGGTATTGAACTAGAATTTTTTGGTTATCCACATTTTGTATCTAGTTTAGCAAACTCATTTAATTTGTGTTAATTAAGCAAAACTAAAACTTTTCTAAATCCTTCAAGCTTTCTTCTAGTGGACAAAATCATTTGAACTTTAACATTTGATTTGGAAAATTGCAAATACAGGTATTATATGTGTAATGTCATATATGTAGAATACATCTCACTTCTTATTGAACATATGGAGATGGAGGGGGGCATCTTACAATTTCATTTACCCTGTGTCCTTTCACTGAACGCAGGGGTAGAGTACAAGAAGATGGATGTAGCTTCTTACATTGTTTTGAAGTGTCCCAGTGTTACAAACCAGTGTATTGTTACATACGAAAGATGTAAAATTTCTAGGAATGAGATAGCAATAGAAAGGTGTCAGCTTCCATTTCTGACGTGTATCATTGGCCAGTAGAAAAACTGCTTGCCAGATTGTTTCCAGGTTAGCTGAAGGATGATCCCTGCTTAAATGAACTGCCAAGCAGTGTGGGTTCAGGAGCAGTTTAAAGAAGATTAGAACAGATGGCCATGATAGGCACGCCTTTGATTGCGTATTAATTTTTCATTTATTTCCTGCCTTCTAAAGAACTTAAGGTGATGTACTTGGGTGTCTTTCCTCATTTTATCTTCACAGTCTCAGGAGGTAAGTTTGGACTAAGGAAAATTGAATAGCCCAAAACCAAGTGAACTCCATGGCAAAGTGATTTGAACCAACACTCTAACCACCATACCATACTAGCACTTTTTAATATTGAGATCTGTGCCTCTTAAATGTAACAGATGGATGGTTCATTTTTATTTCAGATTTCTGAATGAATGAGCCTTGAACTTTCAGTATATGGTATTGAGGATCAGTAGCAAAGGATCATTTTATAAAATTTCATTTAATGTGAAAAACTTTTTAACACCAATATTTTAGTGTGATGATAGCATTATGATTGCAGTGTGCTGCTTCTCCACCAGATGACAACATTTTATTGCATAACAATACAATGTTCTACACTATGATTTCATTTAGGTTTATTCCAGGGCTAATGAAAAGGAACCATGTTGCTGGTGGCTGGCTAAAGTGAGAATGATAAAGGGTGAGGTAGGAATATATATATATTTTAATATTTTGGTCTTACGTTATGTATAACATCTCTGTTTTAAGTTGTTGTGGGTCTCCCTTTTAGTTTTTCTGGAGTCTAAATGTATAGTTAAAGAATTTAAGAAACTTTGGTTTAGTGGATTTTGGATGCAGTGGGGTAAATCTTTCCATATGCTCTGTGCGTCTGCATCTGTGTAAAATCCATTTCCATTTTTATGCATGTAAAATGCAGAAAATATATGTGCCTATGTTCCCATTTGCCATTTTACATGTGGGTAAAATCCCATTCAGATTTAATGGGGTAAGTGGCTTTAATAAACCCCCCTTCCCCTTATTAGTCCATTAAATCTGGGGCATACTGTAATAAACTTTGATACAAAAAGTGCAGTTTCTCCTAAAAGTAAGCAGCAGGACCCTTCAAATGTAAAATGTGAATATAATCTTAATATATCACTACCTACTTATACAGTGTCTTGGACAATTTGTTCTTTTCCATTAGTTTTATGTAATAGAATATGCTGCTTGTGATGCTACCTACAATGAAATTGTCACAATTGAGCGTTTGAGATCCGTGAATCCTAACAAACCTGCAACAAAGGATACTTTTCATAAGATTAAGCTTGACGTCCCTGAAGATTTAAGGCAGATGTAAGTTCAACCTTATTCTGTATATGAAGTTGTAATCAGTGTTCTTAAGATGGATATTACATTTTTCCCCCAGTAGGATACTTATCAACTATATAGTTGTTTTCAAATACATTACAACTGTGCATAATAACTTAGCATTTAATTAAAAGATTTTATGTAAGGAATGGTATTTTTGAATGTGAACAGTTAAGTAGAACTATGCTGCAATTTAATTGCGATGTTCAAGAACCAGATAATTGATTACCTGATTGAAACCAGATGAAAATATATAAATATAAATGTAATTCCCAGAAGCAGATTATGGATCAGGTCATTGTGATTCATTGTGAAATATGTCACAATAGAGAAGGCCAGGATAATTCTCTAGACAACATGGGATTGTATTATTAATTACTGCTGAGGTTCTATGGACATAGCAACAGCACATTCCCTAACCATGGATCTAATTGTTGTTTTAGGTGTGCTAAAGAATCTGCACACAAAGATTTCAAAAAGGCAGTTGGAGCATTTTCTGTAACATATGATGCTGAGGCCCATCAGCTTATCATTTTGGTAAGTTACTTTTGAATAGATGGGGTTGAATTCAAATGGTCTGCTTTGTATACAATACTAATCAAGATTTTTTTTCTCCATTCTAATCCTTCAGTCTATTAATGAAGTAACAACAAAGCGTGCAAATATGTTAATTGATATGCACTTTCGAAGTCTTCGCACCAAGTTATCACTGATAATGAGAAATGAAGAAGCAAGCAAACAGCTAGAGGTAACCGTTGCAACAATTTTTTATAGATGTAGTCATATTGCTGCCAAAGTAAAGAAATTGAAGTTTGACATCAACTTAAATGTCAGTAAATCATAGCATGAGGCAACCTTCCCTGAGATGCTCACCACAGTTGAAGACGATGGGATGTACATTCCAATACATTTGGGAAAGAAGTTACAGGCTTTCATGGTAATATAGTGTTTTAACCTGCAGTATGATGCCTTGTTTATCAGAAAAACTTTATGAGATTCCAAGGGATCATAACTTCCATGGTTATCTTCACTGTTATCTTAAGTTTTAAGATGAATTGATAAGTCTTCCTTAACCTGGATGTTTTCTAAAGAATCAGTATCAGTTCCCAGATTTCTGAACAATAACCATGTTGGCTTGGGAAGTTTGGGGATTAAATCCACCTATCTGGAAGGCACCCATGTTAGGGAAGGCGTTACAAAGTGATGCACCAAAAATAACTAGTGAATCCATGTAACTTCACTCCCAGTTCAATATTTGAAATAAATTCAGTGTACCAGTGAACAGTGATTGCACTCATGCATGTAAGTTTGATGTATGTTATATCTTGGTACTTGCTAAGGAATTCCCAAATAAGAGAGTGCACCCTATTATCTGTCTTTTTTAAAAATGTCTCCTTGTGCATCCATACCAAAGGTCTCGTGTAACTCGGAATGTCTCTTTCCAGAGTTCAAGGCAGCTTGCTTCCAGATTTCATGAACAGTTTGTTGTACGTGAAGATCTCATGGGTCTGGCTATTGGCACTCACGGTGCTAACATTCAGCAAGCCCGGAAAGTGCCAGGGGTGACAGCAATTGATCTTGATGAAGACACTTGTACATTCCATATTTATGGGGAGGTGAGTTACATTTCTGAAGCTCCTTTTGTGAAGTATCTCTGATTCTGAGTCACCGCAACACTTCAAAGCATGCTTGCATTTCCTGTAGGATCAAGATGCAGTGAAGAAGGCAAGAAGTTACCTTGAATTTGCTGAAGATGTCATCCAAGTCCCAAGAAACTTAGTAGGTAGGTTAGCCAGGGCATGTTTCTGAAGCTTGGTTGTTCTGGAAATAATGATGAGAGGAGATTTTCACAGCGTGGCTAATCTATTTTTTAATGTAGACAGCAATTCTGATCATTTGGGCTGACTTAAAATGAAGTTGTAGCTTGATGGGACCATTTTAATACTGACTTACAATGATATATCAAATTGTATATATGGAGATGTTGACCCAGGATCAAGGTTACTCATTCATATCCTTATTCAGCCATGAAGCATGGCAGTTGAACCAATCATATGTTCTTACTGGTGATAAATATGAGGGATTGTCTATGCCACTCTTAATTTTGGGGAAAAGCTGAACTTAACCATCATTTTTTCTAATGTGAATGATAGTACTTCATTAAAAAAAATGTTTGTTTTTAATTCTTAAAGCAAGGATTTGATTTGATTGTCATCCTTGTTTCACAACATCAATTGAATAAAACCTTTTGACAAGTGATGTGGCTGTGGTAATTGGACACAGATTTCTCCTTGCAATATTGATACTGGAGGTTATTGTCAGACTTGATTAAATCTCATTTTAATGGACATATCTAGTAATTGGTTTCAATCCATTTTAATAACTGTTTCCTGCAATTGCAGATGTTAGCTGTGCATGTAGGAAAAGAAATCTTTAAATTCAAGTCCTTTTTAAAATAAATGCCCAAGTGTTTTTAAAATGCATATCAAAGAGAAATGAGGATCTGATGTTCTTGTGAAAACAGGCCTAGTTTATTGATGCAAGAGTGAAGTATCTGAGCACCTGTGGAAACATTTTTGGCAAACTTGATTTGTCCCCCTTTTTTTCCTAATGCTTCTGCTGATTTGAAGAAATGTTTTCTTGTGTACTTTTTATAGGAAAGGTTATAGGAAAAAATGGAAAACTCATTCAAGAGATAGTGGATAAATCTGGAGTTGTGAGAGTGAGAATTGAGGCTGAAAATGATAAAAATATTCCACAGGAAGAGGTACGTGTATTTGTAATGTTTCATATTAATGGGGAAAAGCACATTTTCCTCAACTGCCTACATTCTTTATTGCAAACCAGTTCAGGGAGTTGCTTAATAATTGTGCTTTTTGTAATACTGGCTAAGTAGTTGGACCACTTGGAAAGGATCTCTGCAAAGCAACTAAACTGCCGTTCAGATCCCGTTACTCAAAACGTTAAAGCGTGTTCTCTGTTATTCCCATGGGCCACTTCTGAGGGTCCCTCCATTGTCTGGGCACACACTTGTACCCATAGAAGACTTTTCAGGATTCCTCGCTCAAGCAGTGGAAGGCCATTGCCAGGTCTTTAAGAGATGGCTGGTGTGAACAGCTAGGTCCAGAGGGGCAGTTGGATCACACTCTATTCCGCCCCTGCAAGTGGTTTATTCAGCACTATTAAATACATTCAACTTTGCAAGGCTTGCCCTTGAGGGTTTTTTTTCATATATAATTTTAAGTTTTTAGGCAAGTTTACCTATTAACAACTTAGCTGGCACATGATCAGGTGAACAAAGCAATATCTCCTGTATCCATCCATAGAAAGTCACACACAGGAGGAGGAACTGCCATAAGGAAGACTTTAATCTTAGACAGGTGTCACGTGGGCTGTATCGGTCACCTCTTGTATTTACTGCAGGGAATCTTTTTGTACAGAAGATACAAGAGTATTAGCTACGGGATCTGTAATAACGGCAAACTATTTCAGTTTTCTGTAACGATTATTGGAGTTTATCCATTAATAATATTTGGACTTTCCCCATTTTTTTTTAATCCCATTGTGTTTTGTGAGCTGCAGAACAGCAGCAGCTTTTCAGGCTGACCCTTAAAAGAGCATCTTATCCCAGTGACTTGTAGAAAAATACATCTATTTCCAGTCAGTTATGTTCGCTATAAATTCTGTTCCGTTTCTGGAATCTGCATGAAAATTTGAATTAAAAATGCAGTTTGAATCCAGAGAAGTGTACAGTCCAAAAGACAAGTGTGGTTAGTTTGTGTATTAGTTGGCATAAATTATAAATTAAAATTTGGGATGGATTGCTTAGAAGGAGAGAATTTCTCCTTTGGCTGCCACATGTAACGAAGGTCTTGAGGCTCATATGTCACCCTGCTTTGAGTTCTGATGAAATGCAGGTACTGCGTTCATGTGCTTACTTAGAACATTATCCTTAACTGTTCAATGAGATTATATTGAGCACTAATAATAGAATGGTATTGATGGTATCATGGAAGTCCTCTGATTCTAGATTTGCTCTCTAGGGAATGGTTCCGTTTGTCTTTGTGGGAACCAAGGACAGCATCACGAATGCCACCGTTCTTTTGGATTATCACCTCAACTATTTAAAGGTGAGGATTCCCCTGGCTTGCCTTTGGGGGAAGGGGAAGCCTGGCTTCCAGATGTTCTGCAAAATTATTTAATAGTTTTCCCCTTAATTCCTTATATTAAATGTTGTTTTTGGTATTCGTTCCTAAATGAGTTCCTGTGTCTCAGTCATGGTCAGAATAACCGTAGCTTCTTGTAACTTGCCCCTCTTCCCTTAGGAAGTGGACCAGCTCCGTCTGGAGAGGTTGCAGATTGATGAACAGCTTCGACAGATTGGGGCCACATCGAGGCCACCCCCAAATCGCCCAGATAAAGAAAAGGTGTATATGACTGATGACGGTCCTGGCCTCGGAAGGGGTGGCCGACCTTACAGGAACCGAGGGCACAGCCGGCGTGGCCCGGGCTACGCTTCAGGTGGGTAACTTGGAAGGCTTGGTTCTGCGTCCACTAGGTGACCGGCTTGGTTCCGGAGGCCTGAGGTTTTGGTACTCTCATCAGTGGAACAGTCACGGAGTCTGAAAATGCAAATGAGCTCTAATTATGAAAAGTGCTGTCTGCACAGGAGCATGGACCCTACCTTGCTGGCTCATTTACTTTTCTGTTTATCCCATGTACATGCTGCTGAATCATTGCTGCTCATGATGGCTTACAACCGACACAGTAAGAATATCCAGGGAATGATAAAACATTCAAGCCCAATACTTAAATAATGACAATAATTATACTCTACTTTTACCCTGCCTTTCTCATTAAGAAATATTACAACAGGAAACCAATTTCAGCTGGTAGTTGCTTGGGGTAGTTTTTCTAAAACATCATAAAAATAGCCTGTGGTATGTCTTGGTTTTTTCAAACTCTTGATAGGAACTAACTCTGAAGCATCAAATGCTTCTGAAACAGAGTCTGATCACAGAGACGAGCTTAGCGATTGGTCATTAGCCCCAGCTGAAGAAGAACGAGACAGCTACCTGCGCAGAGGAGATGGGCGAAGGCGCGGAGGAGGTGCGCGTGGCCAAGGAGGAAGAGGCCGGGGGGGATTCAAAGGTAAGCTCTGCAATCCATTGCTACCATGCCAGTTGATTTTTGCATAGACCTTGGGTAGTTGATCTCCCTCTGAAATTGAGGCCTGCTGCTTCTAGGTGTGCCAGCCATGTTTTAATAAAACAGCAGCACTTTCAAACTGAACAAGAAATTGATACAGAGGAGTGTAGAAGTCTCAATCACCTCCTGCCACAGACCAAGCAGGCCTTTTCAGAAAGGGGGGCGGGGGGACAGGATTTGCCTAATAAAAGCAAAACTCTCCAGTAACATTTTGTGTTACTTAAGATTGGAAGATGGAATTGCTGTTTATCCTTCATGTTACTTTGGTCTATAAAATGTCCAGAAATATAATTGGAACTACCTGAAGAGTGCCTGCATTTCTCTAGAATATTTGCTTGCCTAAAAGCCATTAATAACACACAATTCTTTCTCAGATTCCTATTCTTCATGACAATCTGGGTGAGAATGGATTGTTCTAAAATTGTGAATGAAAGGCAGCATTTACAAGCTTTAGAATAGCACTTGTATGCTGACAAGTAATTAGGTTTTTGGGCAACTTTTTGTAGTAAAAACTTTAAAATGTAACATACAGATGAAAAGGGAAAAAAATCATAGCTAACAATCATATTTGTATTAGCTTGTATACCTACAATAGCCCCAGTTGAATATTGGTCAGATCACCAGCAAAAAAGAAAAAAAGTCTATATCAAGGATGGAGAAAGATTAAGCGAGACAGAGACAAATCTGTTACAAAATCACCTTCCTAAAATCCAAATTTGATGTGCAGGAAATGAGGAACAGTCAAGGACAGACAACCGTCAACGCAATTCAAGAGATGCTAAAGGGAGAACAACAGATGGGTCGCTTCAGGTAATTTTTGTTTCTTTACTGATACATGAATGAAACATGCCCACATGCATGGCACTGTATGTTATGTGGTTTTTTTCCTGCAGTCTCTTGTCCCTACATCAGTCTTAGTAGGTTTTACTATGATTATTTTGTTCATGTTTTTTAAATTGATCACTTCCCAGAAGATTAACAAGAGGAATACTTTAGAATAGTTAACAGGGGAGGGGGGGATCAATATAAGGCCTACCGATTCACAATTAATGCTTGTCCAGATACAGTCAGCACATGACCTATTTGAAAGATAATTTTTATTCTTCATACTGAGCAAAATAATTGTAATAGCCAAGTTACATAATGTGTAATTGTATATTGCACAATATATTAATTTTTATTCAATAACTTACTATAAAATGCTACCTCAAAATAGTCAAATTGCTTGCCCCTTAACTATATATTTTTTCTAGAGCGTATTGCATTTGGAGAAGGAGAAAACCATATTTTTTTTAATGTCCTCTCCGGCAGCTCTCGATGGGCGTTCCCTAGTGTTCCCAGGGGTATGCTTTATGTAACTGTAACTTGTTTCAGATCAGAATTGACTGCAATAATGAAAGGAGTGTCCACACTAAAACATTACAGAATACCTCCAGCGAAGGTAGCCGGCTGCGCACGGGTAAAGATCGTAACCAGAAGAAAGAGAAAACGGACAGCGGAGATAGTCAGCAACCGTTGGTGAATGGCGTGCCCTAAACTGCATAGCTTGAGAAGTCGTATTTCCTAAACTGTTCCAGTAAATCTTATTCCACATTAGAGAAACTTGTTAGGCCAAAGACAAATAGTAGGCAAGAGGGCGCAGGGCATGAAATATAAAACGTTCTGTTAGCCTTTTTTAACATCAGCAGTATGCAGTTTTTTTTTCAAAATAAGACATTATACTTGCATTAAAATACCTTGAACTTCTGAAAAAATGCTTTCAAGTACATATTGCACTTCAAACAATGAAAGAATTCCTTTTGTTTGTTTTAAAAATACTGAACTGTGCATTGGTATTTCTGTTCAGTTGTACCATTTTAACGCATCTGGTCAAAATCACTGCTAAATTTCAATTTTCAGAATAAATAGTGTTTGCGGTAATCAAATTGGGCTTCTGTTTTCAATCTATTAAAACTTCCTCATTTAAAAAAATAAATAAAAGCTATGTTTTATGTCCTGTGTCAGTTCACACTTTCGGTTCACTTTTTCAGTATTTTAGTGAACCTGGATCTATGTGTAATGTAACTAAATTGTCATTTTCATTAGCAAAAAGTTGTATGGTATGTGCCTTTTTTATATCTTGGCAGGTAGGAATATTCTATTTGGAAGCAGAAATCAGGGAAGATGAGTTGGAAATGCTGAACTCTGTTGTGTTCAGGTGTTCGGCCTGATGAGGGTGCAGAAGCCCACGTAAGCGCCACGGGACCAGCTCCCTGGCTCTGGCTCCGTTGTCTTCAGATGTACCCGCCCGGCCGTCTACGTGCCCGGATTGGCCCAAGCCCCCCGAGAAGGCAGAGTCCTGGCAGCTCGGAGGCTTCCGCTCATTCAGAAGCAGCACTGGCCCTCCTGTACCCTCTTCAGGCAGAACTCCTGAATAGGACTTCAATGTACAATATATATGTAGCAAACCTTCTCCAACAATTAGTACTTTATTAGAAGAATGCATGCTTTCCATAATTTTTTCCTTGCATAAACATCATTAGGCAGTTTATAAGATAGAAACCTATTTTGCACTGAAGATAATGGCAGATCATGTTACTGAAATGGTGGCTTTTTTGTTTTTGTTTTTTCCCCCCTTTTTAGTCAGGACAAGATTTTTTTTTTTAATGTATATTCCCCATGGTGATAAAACAGTTGATGGTTACCGAGGGAACCTAAAATTTGTTCGTAACGTGTGCCAGCTCTATGGCCAGAGGACCAATTTAAAAGAATAGGCTTTTTCGTTCACTTCCCCTGCAGTTTTGATATTTAAATTTGAGCCTATCTCAGATGAGATAGGAAGATGATTGTGTTATATGTGGCTCTTTGTAAAATTCAGGGATATACTGTAGTTTGACAGCATTGGATATAGAACAATTTTTTAAGGTCTCATTCACAAGTAGCTTAAAAACCTGTAATTGAAGTTGGTGTAAGGTTTAGTTGTCCATAATTGGGGATGGGGCATGCTTTCTATTTCCGATCATGAATGAAATTTACATGCAAAAATAAACGCAGTAGGACATTCATTTTAAGCTATTCTGTTTTTATTAAAATTACTCCAGTAGGAGTGTTGCTGATTATGTACAGAATTGTACAAATTGCAGCCCCAGTCTGTGTTGTTTTTTGTTTCTCTGCTTTTTCATTTTATTTTTTTTTCTTTGCATACAAGCAAGCATATAAAAATGGCAACAAACTGCACACAACTTAACAAATATTAAAAAAAAAAGTCTTAAATATTGCCAAACATTAAATGTTGATTTCTAATTATTTATTTTGGGGGAATGTATAGTATTTGAAAACTGAAATTGGTACCTTGCACACATCATCTGTAAGCTGTTTGGTTTAAAATACTGTAGATAATTAACCAAGGTAGAATGACCTTGTAATGTAACTGCTCTTGGGCAATATTCTCTGTACATATTAGCTACAACAGATTGGATTTTATGTTGACATTTGTTTGGTTATAGTGCAATATATTTTGTATGCAAGCAGTTTCAATAAAGTTGGATCTTCCTCTGCTAATGGATGTTGATGCAATCTTTATAAATGATTGCTTTATACAAATCAACTTAAAGCAGGAACCTATTTTTTCTGTGTTGAAATTGGAAACATTGTTTATTCCAGAAGTGTGAAAACTGAAATATTTTCAATTTCAAGAACGGGCTGGTAACGTGCTATTACTGGTCAAAACGTACATGTTTGCTATTATATGCACTAATTTTACACTCGAGGCTGACTTCAGTAAGGTGCTAACTAGATTTGACTTAACTAAAACTGTTAACAGATTAATCACCATTTTCAAATGACATTTTGCAGTATTTTTGTGCTTTAAATGTGTATCCCTTTCAATTTAAAAAAATTCACTGTTTTTAAGTATTCGTACATTTTAAAAACAAATTGTAAATCCAAATGTAAGACTCATTTTGAGAATCATGCGTGTTACAAAGGTTTGAAAGTGCAGCAAATGTCTGATGTTTGGGTTCACTTCCTTAATGGTAACTTCACATATGGTCTAATAAATTACAATTATTTTGAAAAAAAAAATAAAAGTTTTTTTTAAAGATTGAAAGATATCTGTGAATGGCCACAAGATTCAAGTACAGCATGGTTAGACAACTTGCTTTTCCAGCCCAAGAATTGAATTGGCTGGTTTGTTTTCTTCTCTTCACCCCCACTAGAGAAAGGATAATTGTGAAGAGAAAAAAATGGGGTTTCCATAATGGGATCATGCTAATTGGTTCAAGACGGAAGCATGACGCCAGCGCGCCTCATTTGGCGCATCAGCAAGTATCTCCTCCCTCAGAATAAGGTATTCTATCTGTTACTACATTGTATTGGTAACAGCACATTTCTAGAAGATTCTACTACAGAAACATCTGTAGATGTTTCCTGCTCAGCAATTTATAGCACCATCCAACGGATATAAAGCCTGCCTTTAGCAGCGGCATAGTTTTGTTGGACAATGCTATAAGATGACAGGCATCGCTGGTGAAGAAGTGGCACCTGTCTGTCTGCCTCTCCCTGTTAAAGATGTTTGTGGTCTTGAAAGAGGGTGGGGGAAGAAGTCAATGCAAATTCAACGTCTTCATCTTCCTGATGAATCTCTTGCTAGGAGATCGAGGGAATTTCATTACAGAACCCCCTGAATTGTTTGTTTATTATACTTAACATTCGAAGGGAAATCTTTAGAATTGCCATTCTGTGGGAGAACCGCTTTAGAGCACTCCAGTGGTTCCCTTTACTTAGTTTGTGTTTCTTTTCCTTTGCGTTTACATTCTCTTCAGCAGGGTGAAAGCCTAATTCGTGCTTCCTTCCAGAATGAAGGGTAGCAACCCCATGGCACTCGGCGTGTTCCCTTGCAGCTCTCCCTGACCAGGTGCATTCCAGGTGTCCTGGAACTGAAGCACTTAGAACTTCCAGTCGGTCAGAAGTTGTACTCCAGTCCATTCAGACCAAAGAAGTCTCGTGCTTCAGCTGTCCCAAGTCTTCCCATTACAATTTAACACAGCCACTCATTACCCAGTGAGTAAGTCACAATAGAAGTCCCCATAGTGATAGATCCTGCATAGCCTCAGTGTGCATCCTTACTGGGCATGTAGTTACCAAGACTGCAGAAAAATAAAGGTGGATTGAAGTGAATCTGAAGGTTGGAAACCCCAGGCGTAGATCAGGTTACCCAGCGATAGGGAAGAGCAAAGGAAAGGTGTCTCCTTTTGTATTCATATTGTTGGTTTTCTAATGGTGATAACCTTCAAAATCATGAATTAAGGTAGGCATTTGTTCTTCGTTTCGTTATCTTTGTGCCTTGGAGAATTCAGGACAGTCTGAATTGATGAGATCAGGGCCAAAGTCCTCACCCCAGTTTAACGTTACCAGGTATTGCAGTCCTGTCTGTAGGAATTGTAGAACCTGTAAGCTGCCCATAGGCTACTCAAGGCTCTGTGTTAGGGAGTTGATAGGTTGACCTCCACCATTCTGTCAAAGCAGGAACCATATAACAGTATGGATCCTCCCCTTTCAGGTTTCCTGCCTGGTTCCAAGTGTGAGGCGGTCATTTTCTCTTCCTCCTCCAGGAAAAAGGTCATAATTGGTACCTTACTCTAGCCTCTTTTTCAGCTTCCAATTATTTTTCTACATTGTCTTTTTTTAAAAAAAAGTTATTTGCATCCTTTGCTATTTCCTGTCCTGCCTTTGTGGCCAATTCCATCATTTGATTTGCCACCAACAATGGTAACAGGCATGTCCTGGCCACAATTAAAAGCTTAAGAGCTACAATAATGAGCTGTCTGCTACATGGTGCATGGATCTGTAGCTGTCGCAGAAGAACTTTGGTCAAAATTTCTAAGGGTGTTTCCAGAAAAATAGCCAATTCCTCATTAAATTTAGAAATAGGTTTAACCTCATTAGAGGCCTGACTCTGACTTTGCTGTCCGAGGTACTGGCTCAAGCTACTCTAGTTACCTTGACCCTTCAAAATACACCATCATCGCTAAATGAAATTAAGTCTGACCTTAGACTGCATTTTCCACGCAATATCTGGTCTTGATCACCTGTGAGAAAGTTGAATTGGTTTGCAACCTAGACTTAGAAAAGGGTTTAAGTTTTACTCCAAAAATATGTAACTTAGCACGCTAGGGAGATTGTTAGCAGCAGCCAAGAACTGTACCAACATTTTGTGTCCAACGCACAGAAGAGCCTTTACGCTAGTTAGCCAAACTCAGCATCTTACCTTCAGCTCTTCTGGAAAGATGATTCAATGGCACACTAATACAAGACTGTCTCTACTCCTTGAAGAAAGTTGAATTAATAATGCATGTTATTTTTTGTTTCCCCTTTTATTCAAATTGCCACAAAAATTCAATTATACTTCTTTTAACAACCAGTCACAAGCGCCGATCTTACTGTCCCCTTTCTAGCAAACATTTCATAGATGGCTTCCAGGAAAGTGGTCAAATTCTGCTCAGTTGCCGTCACTATTCACAAAATGGTTTATTTCCCCTTGTTTAGAATCTTACAGTCCTTCCAAATAGAAGGTTAACATTGTTTTATGATTTAACAATATTAAGTAACAGCCTGTGATAGCTTACATTTATATTCATTCACGTCTCTTGCTAGACTTATCACTTAAGTAGCTTAAAATTTGAATCGCTATGGAAATAAAATTTAAATATGTCATTCCTTTGTTTAAGTAACCAGCAACTTGTTTAATAATTTTAGCAAATTAGCTTGGGGTATTTTTATGTTTTTTTAAAAATTAAGTCTTAGTTTATTTCAGAGTGGTCCATATCTTTTTATCCTATTTCTTTTGTGAAATTGTATTTAATTTTGGTCCTTGACCATGGTAATAAAACTAACACTAGTATCCTGCTTCTGCTTTGCTTGGGGAAGAAAACCAAAAGAGCAGGTTTAATAGGGCAGCAAAAATACCTGAGTATGAATGCCCTGCTTCCCTAACAGAGAAAAAAAGAGAGAATGGCTTTTCTTCTGCCCTCGATGGCATCTCTGAAGAACAGATTGCTCTAGCATGTGAGTCCCAGGACTTCCCGATATTCTTCACTTTGCTAAGTCATCTACAGTCTCAGCAGTTTTCCATCTAAATACCAATATTTCAGATTAGAAGTGCTTCTGCAATAAACAACCACAATGACCCGTGTGGCCTTTGGAGGTAGCATTTAGATATCCCACCTGTGGCTTCTTCCATGCCAACAAAAAAGAGAACAGTGGCTTTGTGATGGCTCCTTGTGGATATAACCATACAAAACCCACCATGGAAGTCTGTTTTCACCATAAATCTCATTAATCAGCCATCCTCATGTTCCCCTGTTCCTCTTATATTTTCAGACTTCAGCTTTGAGGTACTAATGTCTTCTTTTTTTCAATGGGATTCCTCTCCCAACTTAGTAGAAACGAACCACCAGGGGTTTCTCAAGGAGCAGCAGAAGACCCTTGTGATTTCTGTTTTTTTGAGCAGAGTATGGATGATGGACTAGGTTCTGTATAGTCTCTCAGCAATGCAAAACCACCTGCCCAGTGTAAACCAATGTTTGTTTAAATCCTGGGGCTGCAGAGGTTAATCCATTTTGCCCAATGGATCATTTCCACATCTTAATCCCTGCTGTTTTCTAATTGAGAAGTTTCGAGAAGCTGCTTCTGTTCTTCTATCAGCAGAGCCAAAAGGTAAAGTAGAAGAAAAATCATCTTCAGAAATCTTATGTCTCACCTAGGGAAAATGGGTTGCATTCCAGTGATGGTGTTTCACTGAGGGAAACAGGGTTGGTCAAGAGCTGGCATGGAGGTGCCATATCCTAACCTCTTTTCTCATGGCAAGCTGTGTGATTCTGTGCCAGACCCAGTCCTGGCACACAAAATGATGAAGTGGAGACCAAAAAGAAAATCTACCCTTGAATTATTGGCCAGCAATGCCAGAAGAACTTCCTTTTCACCTACAAAGTCCAGCAGCAATTGTTCCATAAAACTCTTCTAATCGCCTGAAAGCAGGCAACTGCTGATTTGGAAGACTGGAACTTTTAAAAGCACAAAACTTTTGCTTCCTTTAAATATACATATTTCCCCCTGAAGATTTTTTTTAACCTTATTGCAACTTTAATTGATCAAGTTATCCATTAATCAATTAATCTTTAACCAGGTGCCCACATATTTCCTAATATTTATTGATTACACTGTAATTATGCTCTTCATGGTACTCCAAGTAGCAAAAACAGAGATGTATGATCTCCCTTTAGTCTCATAATATCCCTGTGAGGTAGGCTAAATTCACATCACACCTAGCCTCTAGTCCTACAAACATTGTGGATGACGCTTTATGGTTTCTAGGAAGTCAAAACCCTTTTCACCAGACCGGCTTCCTCCTCCTCCATCAATGATGAATTTCATGCTTTGACCGTAGACCGTGGAGCAAGATGGATGGATGAAGAACCCTCTTTGTATCAGGTAGCAACAAGCATGAATGTTGAGAGGTGTCATTCCACAACATATATTCATCTAAGCAGAGTTTCTCAACCTCAGGAACTTGAAGATGTGTGGACTTCAACTCCCAGAATTCCCCGACCAGCATGAAAATGGTTTTGACTGGCTAGAAACCATAAAGCGTCATCCACAATGTAATATGCTATTTTATAGATGCAGTATGGACATTCATTCATTCATTCATTCATTGGGTTTATTTATTTATTTGCTAGATTTTTAAGGTCACCCAACTCAAACAATGTGACTGGATGGTGTACAACAGCTAAAAAAACCCCAAACAATTGATTCTTTGTGTCAAGATGCTATCCCAGTTCCTTTGTTGCATAAAAAAAGTCATCTAGACATAGAACTCCTATTGACTATTTTTATTTCCTAATGGATGTGTATGGGCTTGGGGGTGGGGGGGGTGTTTTACTGTCATTTCAGGAATGATACAAATAATGAGATTTGTGCTCCAGCTTTTAGCCAAATATTTGTACGTATTATATCATGCGGTCAACCCAAGTGAGTATTACAAAGCAGAGTTTGTAAGCATAAGTTAATGAAGAATTTGGTCACCCGTTGCTTCCAAGAAACCTTTGCCTATACAAGGCCCCCAATTTCATCGCAGAGCCCTTTAACAGAGCTGAAATTTTGCAGAGCTGCTGAAAAATCGGGGTCTGAGTCCAAGTCAGCTACCTTAAGCAAACTACGCAATGTTTTGGTGTGTTGTGTTCCAGCAAAGTTAAATTGTGGCTTAAGAGGGATGAGAGACCCCAGTCAGCATCTCGAACAGCTTCCCATCCATGTGCTGACCCCACCCTGCCCTGCTTAGCTTTAATAACTTTGTGCAGAGCTTTAAAAACGTCACACAACAGGCAGGGGTTATGTCCAAAAAGTTACGGTTGCAGTTGCAACCGTATGATTGAAACCTATTTGATGCACATTAAAAAGAGGCAGAGCTTCGGTCACATGGGTGTGGCTGCCATCTTGATGTTTTTGACCCCTTTGCAGACCCCATGGCATGCAATAGAGCACACCAATGCAGACTTACTTTTAAGCAAGTCCCTAAGAGTCTGCTTAAATCAAAATTTAAACAGACCTCAAGTCAGCATTTCTGTGTGCCCCTCCAAATCCCTCCACATCAATAAATTCAGTATTGCAACTTATATCAAAGCCTCACAGTGATAATACTAATACAGAATCTGTGCTTAGAGTAATCTGAATATCCTGCAATGGCTGGATTCAGATCTACTGCTTAGACTTTAAACCATGGTTTTTCATAATAGCTAGGTTCACACAACACTCTAAGCCAGAACTAAACACACCACATAAGGACTTAAGGTGACATATGAACTCCAACTCCTTGTTTCACTCATGTCCTTAGTCAGGTGAGCAAAAATGGGAATTTGTGATGGCTGAAGCCATCAGATATGATGATGCATAAATGTCCAGCTAAATGCAAGTATGGCTCTAAAAGCAGGATTTAGACAACTTTAGCAACATTGCACACTTTGCGACCTCCTCAACTTTCCAAACTCCAATTCTTCAGGTTTTTCACTGCCAGTGCTAGAAGTTCAAAATGAATCACACGTGGTTCCTATTAAGCCAAGGACAAAACCAGAAGCCATATCTGAGCAGGTGGTAAACTTCTTCCATCCTGTGAGTAAGTGCTGCTTGGATATTGCCTTGATGTTACTCCCTCGCCAAACTGTTGAGCAGTTTGGAAATGTTGGGTTTGTTACTCTGAAAGATACACAGAAACCATCTGTGTACAGAGAATTACATCCAGGTTTCAGAGCAGAAAGTAAACCAGATTGATCCTTGGGAATTCACCCTCCTCCTTACTTCTGTCTCGCCCAGTCTCTTGGCCTCTGTTGAACAGAAAGCACCTTTTCCTGAATGCCAAGTCCCTTTGGGTACACACAACTAGTTTGAAGTGTGTTTTGGATCCTGGCTGAAGATTTGAAATGTATGCTTCTTCCCAACCAACTTGGTTAAGACTGCTGAGAAGATACACCAGCATTGTATAACAATGGATGCACGTCTCTGAAAAGGCGTGGTAAAAGTCCATAGAAGGCTGTTGTATTCTCATTCTGCTAAGATTTTGGTAACTGAAATTATGCAAGCAACCGATGGATGGCTGTACCCCGGTGGGATGGCCCAAGTGAGAATTAATTCAGTCTTCACTGTGAGGACAGAACTTTGCAGCTATACTTGTTCCTTGAAGTCCAGTATCAGGGCACAAAATTAGACACATGTTTCCTTAACTTCTTGGGTGAGTTGCATAAAGAGAGAAGCATATCTCAACTTGCTGCTTAGGAATTATAATTTAAAGTTTGCTTGGTATCTTCTAAGCATGTCATGGGTGAAGGGTTCTCTTCTGTGTCATTCTGCTACACCAGCTCAACAGAAGAGCATATCTGTAGCTCAGGGTTGAACTGTGGAGTCCTTGGGGTTCTCTGAGCTTGGTTGTTTTCTTGCTCACAACCAAGCTCAGAGTACCCCAAGGACTCCATACTCCAACTCAGCTTGTTCAATGATACATTTTCCAAAGACCATCCTTAAAAATTTGAACCTCCCTGTTGTGCTTTTCTTCGTCCAGTTTTGCTGTTTTCTCCCATGTAAACCCAATGCAGGAATGATTCTCAACAGATTTCTGAGGAAATACGGATCTATTGGAATGAGCTGTTATGGAGGCTAATATACAACCTGAGTCATATTGACTGTGTTGGATGTGAGAGAGATTCAGAGTTTAGATCTTTTGTTGTCTTTCTCAAAGCATGTTGGCCCAAAGGAAATCAGGGAGCGGTGGCTTGCAAAGCTGGAGATTATATCAACAAGACATTGTGCCTAGAACACAAATGTTGTGTTTCTTCCATAAAACTTATTCGGTTGGACTGCTATACTCCATTTGAAGACCGTAAGTGGCATTTTGTTCCATATATCCTCTTTATCCACTTTATATCATTTGTGGGGATAGCTGACCCCTTGATTCAGATGGTCATTTAAAGAAGGACTTAACAAATTCAAATGTTTTAATGTTAGCTTTAGTGAATTTCACTGTGGGGTATAGGATCCCTTGCACAGTGACAGTCCTAGCCAATCAAGGTTGGTGCTACTGAACTGGCTAGAAGATTGATCTGTTGCAATACCATAACGCCTTTCCTGTCTTGGAATGTAACTTGAAGCCACTATTTAGAACTGAAAGAGTTTGTTCTGTATTTTTTTGCTGGAAGTTCTTTTTCCATCAAGCTGTCTATCTGAAGAGTAATTAAATTACCAACACTTCAAGGCACGCATCATGAATGCTTATGTCCCACATAGCCTATGCTTTGTCCCTTCTTTTGACAATGTGCAAATGCAAAGCAGTCATCTTGAGACCTTAGGGGTTTTTCCCCCCCTTACTTAGCAGGATCTGGTTACCCCCTACCATAGATAGTCATGTGTTAGCTCCTTAACTTCATCAAATTTCCTTACTAAGTTTCCCAATAATTTTTCATAACAGTATAGAACAATGGTGGCTCTCGAGGGCTCTTTGTAACTTCCCCAGCAAAAATTCAGTTGGCCTCTTGGGAACATGGATGAGAGGCAGGGTGGATCTGAGATTAGTTTATCATTCTTAGATTTCTATTGAAATAGCATAGAATTGCATCCAAAGAATGACACAACTAATCTGTAGGCTGTTAGGATCTTTAGTTTTGTGTCTTTTCTTATATAATATCCTCCCCCAGTGCTTATAATCCTTCCAGAAATTACTCAAAACTGGTTGTTCTCCCAGGCTTTAAGATGGGGTGGTTGCAGAACGACTTTCAGTATGGTTCTTCTGGTGAGACATGTTCTCTTTAATAAATATTGTGACTTTTTTCTCTCTTATTTGCAAACCACCCGTCATTAAGTAGTTCCACTAAATAAATAAAATGCCCCATAGCAAACTGCTTTTTGAACCAAAGACCAAAGGTTTCAAATGCATATTGTGACAAGATGTTTATCTTTAAAGGGTAAAACCTCTACATTTTGCCTAAAGCTTATTATTCTGGCTACAGATTAGATGCCAGCCATGCTAATGTTGATCAAACCACAATAGGTCCTCAACAGATTTTGAGAATATTTGGCGTTGGAATTGGAGGAACGATGATTGTTGCATGTCTTCCATTTTGCTGTTTCATAGTAGAGAGAAGGTAAGAAATGGAGGTAAGACGTATTACAAGCTAAACATGTTCAAAACGTTTCAGTAGTCCCACAAGTCACAATTCCCTACAGAAAGGTGTCTGAAGGTAAGAAGAAACCTTAAACTCCATGGAAAAGAGAATGTGACACCTGCAGACGTTTCCGGGTTCCACCTTGGCCTTTTGAATTAGAAAGGATGAGCAACCATCCTTTCTAATCCAGTGGAATTAGAGAACGGAATGGAATATTTTTTTCCATCTGAATGGAAAAACCATTCTCTGCCCTGCGTCCAAGAGACACCTCGTACTCAAAGTGTATGCTTTGTAATGGTGGATCAAATGCATTAGAAGAAAGCTATTGTATCTGGCCTGCAAAAATCCATACCACCAGTGGATGGCAGGGAAAGGGCTATCTTTTTAATCTCCTGGCTGTGGTCCTCTGGATTTTGCAACCAGAAATGGTAGGCCTGCTTTGGGGAGAACCTTTGGCTCGTAGAAGCAAGTCATGCTTTGGAAACAAAAGATCCAAGATTCATTCCCAACATTTCTAGTTATAAAGATCAGGGGATGGGAAACATGGAAAATTGTTGCTTGTCAAAACCATAGTGCTTTTTACCTGAGAGACAGAACAGCTTCAGAGGTAGACATCCTAGTTCCCATTGGATACTTCTGACAACTCCCATAAGCCTCAGATAAGATGGCTAAGCCTCATGTGTTGTAGTCACAAACATGTGGAGGACATCAGGCTATTTATGCTCCAAGTGTCCTTTACCCAAGGTGGCTCTTTGTATTTTAGTATGCTGGGGTGGTGGGAAATGCTTGGGAATTACAGTACAGTTAAAAACAATGTGTGCCCTTGAGCAAAGAGAACCAATGTAGAATAGTGGTGAAGGTGTTGGACTGGGACCAGGAAGTCACAGGTTGAAATCCAGCTGCAGCCACAGCAGCTCCCTGGGGGACTCTGGTCCAGTCCCTCCCTCCCAGCCCCTGAGCCAATGTGGTTTAGTGGTGACAGTTCTGGATTAGGACTAGGGACATCCAGATTCTGGTCCACCTCAGCCATAGGACTCCCTGGGGAGCCCCTCCCTTCCAAGCCAAGAGCCAGTGTGGTGGTGTGGTTAAGATGTTGTATTAAAACTAAGGAGACTGGGTTATAGTTCCACATTAAAGCACAAATGTTGGAGGCAAACAATCTAGCTTGTCACTCCAGATTTTAAAAAAGGATCAGTTCATAAGAGATAGAGAAGACCTTTCGGTGGCCAGAACTCTGAATTGCTGGAGCTGAGCAAAGTTTATTAGATTAGTACCCTGATCTGGATGTAAGGCAACTTTGAGTTTTCTACAAACTTCTCATCAGAAAGTTGCTTGGGCATCAAACCACTTAGCATGGAAGGAAACAATCTCCTGGGTACACATGGAACCACACCCCCATGCATTCTTCCTCTTGGCTGACCAGATTGCTATTTGTCAAAAGTTTCTGCACCCAGACCTCCCGCTGCACAAATGTGCACGTTCACCACTTCCTCTGCTCTCAGCACCGGTATTTAATCTGTGGACAAACAGAGCTATTGTCAAGCTTCCGGAGCAAAGCTCTGCATTAGCATAGAATTGTCTGCTAAAGAAGAAATCTAACATTTGTTTGGAAGAGACTAAAGTCGGCATGCAAGTGATTTATTATTGGGGAGCTATCACTTGCAAAATTGACAAAACTTACTTTAAGAAAATGGTTTTTGTGCCATAATTAACTGGAGGCAAGGTCATTTTAATTTTCCGTATCTCCCGCTGGGACTGTTTTTGAATCCATCCAAAGGAGGCCAAAAAATGCCTTATAACATAATAGAATGATCTTTTCTAGTTCCAAGATTTTGCCTATTTTTATAAATGTTGCAATAGATTTTTCCAGCACATCTGCAAGGCGTACTTATTGGAAAATTATCAGTGCACTGTGAAATTTCCTTCCCAATTCTGCAGATGCATTGTACAAATAATGACTCCTGCATCTGTATTAAACTTGGATTTCTGAAGACCAAACTGAATGTGATAGATTGACATGTCTACCCTTTTTATATATAAAGTGGAGGATTATTATTATTATTATTTTTTAGTAGGAAGTGGGGGACAGTGGTCTGGAAGTGCATTACAATGGAAGAAAATTGATTGAACCACCAGTAACTAATCTAGTCCCTTTCAGAGGCTTTGGATATCAGTTCCATTTAGTACTATCCAGCAGATCAAATAGCGAGGGATTGTAATAGTTTAAGTCCAAAAATTCTGCAGAAGTACCTGGTTGTGTAGTCTGACAGTAGCAAGTTGAAGGGAAATAAAACTCAGAAGCATTGGTGTCAACATTCCTCTCCCTATTTAATTTTTCTGCTTATGTGAAGTCAAATTTGGTGTGTTATCTACTCTGGAAGAAATTTTCCATGTTTCCCATCCCTCTCTCTCTGATCTTTATAACTAGAGATGCTGGGAGATCAAGCCAGGCATTCGGCCTGCAACTTATATGCTACACAACTTATCGTCTACTCTGGCAACAATTCCCCAAGATCTCAAGCACAGAGGAATCTTGCTCATCACCTGCAAGTTAATCCCTAGATGATAGTAGAGATATGGGCAACTTTAATTCTTTGATTCCATCTGATGTTGGTCCATAATGTTGAAACCCAGATATGGTAGATCTAGGAAGGTTCCTTGTAGACAGTGAACCATTCTTCCCTAACCCAGTGTCCTCCAGGTCAGTTGGGACCACATCTTGCAAAGTTTATATCTTTGTTTTCAATGGTGTTGCAGCCCGTGTGCGAATCCTTTGCGTAGAGCCCCCAAAGAAGATGACACTGAAGAAGAAAGTGAGGACAGTGAGGACACTGAAGACACCGAGGAGAGCAGCGATAGCCAGTCTGCAGATTGAATTCAAAACTATGTTGAAGGATGTATGAAGGACAACTAAATGCTCATCATGGTATGCTTAACCTATATGGAGTTATGTATTGATTTCTGCAGATGTGTATACATCAGCTGTCTATTTTCCAGAGCGGGAGAGATAGGTGTCTGTTCCTAACCACAATGACACCCGAATGAAGAAAGGGGCATCTTGATGCCCCCACATGTCAGGCCTAGCCCAAAGAACTCCTGGAGACCATGCAGGTTCAATCAGCAAGGTTTAT